ATAAGATTTTAACAACTCTGAGCTATTAGTTAAGTTCTCCCCAAGCGAGCTCGATGGGCCGAATGGCCTCCTCTCGTTTGTATAGTTCTTATGTTCCCATATTACTGCATCATCTCCCATAGTATGTACCAGAGTATGCTTTTATATGCTTTCCTGAAGTCTATAAATCACATGAAGATTTGTTAACATATTCCCACAAACCCTCACACAACTGCAAGTGAAAGAAGAGCTGGTCCACTGATCCACAGCCAGGCTTGAATCTGAATTGTTCCTCCTATATCCTAGGTTTGACCACTGGGTGGAGCTTTCTCTCTAGTGCTCTGGCTATACGTTTCCAAAGAGGCTGAGTTGTGTGTTCCCCGTTGTCAAGGACACTTAAAGCTTTCTTCAGATCCCCCAACTAAGCTGTTTCTGTAGTGTAAAAGTCCTGCCACGTTATATCGATGTACAAATGAACAGCAAGCTATAGTCTGTATATGTTTATTCACAACAGAAAACAGCAAACATATAGCAATTTGTATAGATCTGAAAGTATGCTGTGAAACTCCTTTCGTAGGAAATGATTAAGTCATGGTTGCTTTAAGCAATCAAAAATACCAGAGATGGAAAGCCAAGCCAATGGTCACCAATTTGAGACCATTAACCAACAGGGCCGCTTAGTGCATAATAATCACCATTATTCAAATATACTAACAAAAAATATCTGCGCAACAGTTTTGTACATTAATATGAAAATCAAAATATATTAGTTGGATCAGTTTAAATTGTTTTGAATGCAGTGCTAAAAATGACAAAATTCTCCCCAAACACCATTCAGTAAGTGCAACTTCAATACACTCATCTTGAACATCAGAGATATAAGGCCATTATAAAACCTAATATAAGGTTGGTCCATCCATCCATCCATCCATCTTCTGTAACTGCTTGTCCTATTCAAGGTCATGTGGGCCCAGAGTGTATCCCATAAGCTACGGGCACAAAGCTGGGAACAATGCAGGATGGGGCCCCAGCCCATCACAGGGCACACTCACACACTATATTAGATGTCTTATTCATTTCATGCTAATGTTGTGCAATACAGCAACCTTCAGCTTCTTTACTGTATTTAACATAGACATTCTGTCATCATAATAGACTCACCATAACTTTAAATAGATAATTTCCCACTGCTCACTACCATTCATACATAAAAGTTTCCTTTGAAGTGCAAAGTCAGAGCTACCTGGGGTGCCTCAATGTCAACAGGCTGACAGGTGGTGGGCAATAAATGGTATTTTAGCTATATTTCAAAATCTCTTACTATTCCTTCATAGGATGTTTGTAATGTAATAAAAACTGAATTAGTCTATACCTTATTTCCTAATTACAGACTGAAATAATTTATTCACAGGGAGCACAGTTATAGGACACGCAATAGAAGAAATTTAAAAGAGAATGGCCAACAAGTTTTTGCATCCTTGTTTAGCTCCAAAGCAAGGGGACTCTATTAAGATTTGAAAGACACTGTGTTTGGTGTCCAAATCTGTGCTTGACCCCTCACGCAGATTTATTTTAGCATACACACAGAAATCCTCTGCCAAAAGGACCCTAGTGAATACTTGTGTCATTTACTTTTGCAAAATCCTTTCTTCTATGTACTGTGAACTGCTGAAACTGAAATGTAATTGGTGTTTTGAGGATTTATTTTGACTTTGCAACTATGAGACTCTGTCAGGGTCAACACCGAAATGCCAGTGGAATCTACCATCTTCCAACTGCATGGGATCAGCCACTGCATAAAACTATCCCTAGAATATCAGGCTGTTGTGTCAAGGTGGTCTGAGCCTAAGCCAGACAAATGCAAAATTAGGTGGGGGAGCAATTTGTGGAACTACCTGTGCAGGGATGGTGTTTCCACTTTAAAGTACAGGTATATAATAATTCAATTTAGCTTTTTACATCAGTTTCCAGTCATCCCATGCAAACGTCAACTCTTGCATCTAACCCCCCTACTTCAGACTTCAGAGGTGGTGTAGTTGAAGCTTTGTTTTCTTTTATAATCCACTTGGTTATGCTTTAAAGTGCGCAGCTTTTGACCAGGTGCATTTAACACCATATCTAAGATTCATGAAATTACCTTCCCACCAGATCCAGAGATCTGCTTCCTGGCCAAAGTAACTAACTACTAACTTCGGTGTGGTTATGCTATAAAAATTAAAAGAAATGTTGTTAATGATTGCCAAAAATTTATTATATTGAAGGGGCATTTGAACAATACCATGCCAATTAGAGTATGGATATCTGAAATTAACAGCTGTACACCATTAGAAAATGTAATCCATCCATCCACTCATTTCCTGAAACCATTAGTCCTATTTAGAGTCGCAGGGGGTCCGGAGCCTACCCCTGAGACTATGGGCACAAGGCGGGATCGTATCCTGCAATACACATAACAGTGAACACAATGAATATTCAGCAAACACTCCCATCTGAAAGCGGAAAACAGTGCAGAAGATTATGCGTAAACATACCCTACAGCAAAAATTACTCTTTTACTTCATATTTAACAAAATTATAGGCTAGAACCGTATTGACCCATATTGTTCATATTACATTCCTTACATATGTAGGTACAAAGGACCTTATCCATGTTGCACTTTAGTGGGACTTGTTGGCGGAGTAAGCGGTGGCGCCCCCTATCTGCCTGGACTCCCTCTTCATTCTCTAACATCTTTCCTGAAACCTGCACTCCTATACTACTTGGACCCACTTGGCTTCTGCTGTGGCCCTCTAGTGGTGGAACAGGCTGGCTGTTTGCCCCCCTTCCGCAGTCCTTTGAGGAACCTTGGTGTTTCCCACATTTTTGCGCAGAGACTCTTTGTCTGTCACCTGAGATTTACACTGGATCAGTGAGTTTGATTTCATATTACTTCCTGTGCTTGAAACCAATCTCTAATATTTCAATTTCTACTTCTCTCATGGTACTAGTTATTTGCCTTTTCCAGCTGTCTGAACGGCTCTTAAATAAACAACAATGAATCATAAATGCTGACACAAACTCTGCCTTCTAGAACGAGACAGCAGGCAAGAGATTATTGGACCAAAAGAACAAATTTCTCACATGACTGGCGATGCTTTTCTGGCCGTGACAACATGGCCTTGCAGTGCATGATCGACAATGCAGCTTCCCTAAAACATGTTACAAACACCTTAAGCAAGTCTTATCTAGGTATCGCAAAAGAGGGAAACATCTTCCTCATTTTAATTTTAATTTAAAGCCTGGAAGCAAGCAGGGAACCTGCTGTTAAACTGAGGAAAATGAAGGTGCAGATTGCTGGAAATGCGCGTCTATTATTTCATAAATGGGTGTAAACCCTAATCTATGCCAGTGCCCAACGCTGCACCAATGCCGTGAAAACCACCCCAGCAGCTGCGTGACAGCCCCGCTGTCACAGCTACGTCACCACATCGTTAAAATCCAGGCGCGAGTCCTCCTCACCCTGGAGGTCGAGCATAGTGGGTCGGTGTGGGCAGAAGAGCCAATGGAGAACGGCCAACGCCACCCGGACCAGGAGGCGGAGCAGCAGGAAAGCCACGGGCACCACGATCTGCGTCAGGTGAAAGACGGGGGCGCTGAATTCGCTCAGCACGCAGGTGATGAAGAAGGTGCCCAGGGCCACCGCAGGGTAGAGGGCAAGCTTGGCCAACATGAAGGCGTGGTCTTGGCCGCCATAGTGCACGCAGGGATGCAGTGTCTCACGCTGGCTGAAGAGCGCTACCACCCAGATAGCCAGCTGGAAGATCCCAGCAAAGAATATAATGACGCAGCTTATCTGGATGGCCTCCAGCTCATTGTGGGAGTTGCGAGTGAACTCATGAGTCAGCTGGTAGGCTAGTGGCAAGCCCCCCACGAAGGCCAGTGAGAAGGTGTTGAGTATGCCCATCAGCCGGGTGCTTTTGGTCACGTGCATGAAGAGCGAGTGGTGGACGAACCACAGCAGGCCCACCGTAGCGAATGAACCGAAGTACGCCAAAAACTCAGGGCCGAATTCCTGCAGGGCCACCACCAGGCTGCTGTTGAACTTGTGCTGCACCTCCGCAGGGTCTGGGACGTTGTCCTCACTGCTCGCCACGGCCAACAGAGGAAGGACACAAAGCATCAAAATATTGGCCCCAGCAGACTGCAGCACAGTATGTAGGCTCACCTTGCCACTAAATATGTATAACGGCAATTCCATGCAAATGTTCATTTGATGTCACATAGAAATATGTAGCATAATTTTAGTAACATGCATATTAATGCATGAATTTTGAGGATTTTAATGTATTCGACCCAAGAACTTAAATGAAAAGATATGTAAAAGATATGTAAAGTGACTCATTGATACTAAGCTTGTCCATGCTCTGAGGTAATTTTTTTGCCAATATGAGTCTAAATGTCACATCTATAATGCTGGAATTGTCCATAAGTCTTCTCATTTAACCAAACGAAGTACCCCTTCGGTGTCACATGATACTGAGATAGAAACCCAACTGAGAAACCATATCTGTGTCTGCGAATCAGTTTCAAAACCTCCACGCTGTGAAGCTTTTGGTTCTGCAAATTCCCCACAATGGGAGGTAGTGGCTACATCCCTCTGAAGGACTTTACGCTGCATACAGGCAGGAGTTACATATGATGGAGCACAATATGCTCTACGTGCATCAAGATCAGCAATACAGAATAAGGTAATAGGCAACAAAAATTACCATATGTCTAAAATGAGGAGCGTGGCTACGATGGCGTATACTCCATCACTGAAGGCTTCTACACGCTCTTTGCTCAGTGGTTCATTCGGGTGGTAGGAGTAGAACAGCATGGATTCAGGGGTTTCCACTTGCCTCCCTGAAAACACATGGACATGACATTTTTGGGTAATGTTTTTTTCTTTTACAATCTGAAGGAGCCTTTCCTAAAGAGTGCTGCTCTCGGGTACTGCTGGTTATGCAAAAAAATATAACTGACACTGAACGCAACAACAGCACAGAAAAACAAGGGCGAACATTACTTCATAATTCAATCAGACTTGCTCACTAATGCACTGCTAATGATAAGATTCACTACAATGATAATGCAAAGCTGTGGTCAAAACTTATTACAGTACAACTCTTAACGCTGTAAAACATGTAATATCACTCATTTGCACTTAGGTAAATGGCCTAGTTCATATTGCGATAATATGAATTGTGAAAATTAAAATATTTTATAAACGTATCGCATGACAAAGGGCTCATTATTACCAATGTCCTGAAAACTGATGACTGCACTTTGTAAAATAAACAAATGAGTTAGAGGGCTCTGAGCTGATTGTTTCATTGTATGGGCTGGTTAGCAAATGTTTCCCTATATACACACAGTGGCAACCTTGTTTGGTACACTAGACTGTACCAGATAAGAGCCACATTTTCTGCCAGAGCTACTTCAAGGATAACTAGGTTGTATGCTCAGAGCTGCCGAAACACCTGCCTGAAACACCTGCCTGAAACACCTGCCTGATTGCTGCAAGTATTCAGCTGCACTCACATGATTCTCTGTTTGGAGGAGCAGCCCTGGGCCAGCTTTAGCTACAGGCAGAATATGCAGTTGTCTGGGGCACCTGAATAATCTGTGTTGCAGAGGAAGTAAAATGATAATCAGTAGGGGGCCTCCCAAGTAAATTGATGCCAGAGGTAGAGTTGGCCCTGGTGGAGACTGTTTGCATTAGCAAGCAGGTGTACCTAATAAACTGGCCACTGAGTATGCATTCAACATGTATCATGCCATCACCAGAGTACACTGCTTACCAACTGCTTTGCTGTGACACCACTTCAGTGACTGTGAGATGTAGGGGAAGAAGATGACGAACGCCAGAATAACGTAGGCCTACAAGGGAAAGAGGAGGAATACTCAGGTGAAACTAGGTGCTTTATGTTTGTAAATGTTTATTTAAATATTTGCCAAATTTCATTTAAAATCACAAGACTTCCAATAATCCTGTCCTATATTTAAAAAATCTTCAGCTAGAGATATACAAAAGTTCTTTTAAATTCTCTGCCGTAAAAAGGGTAAGACAACAACTCACCATTGGGGGAAAAATTAAAGAAAAAATTATTGCAACAAAGCAGAACACAGGAACTCTTAAAATGACTTTTAAGATGTGTTTTTTGTAAAAGGCCAGATTTTCAGACACTTGTATCTGGTCATTCAGCAGGAAAGGCTGGCTAAATCCATACAGAACAATGACAGCCTGCGGGGAGGAAAGAAACCATCGTCACAGGAGATTCGTTTCAAAGGCAACCAGTACACTTTCCATAATGTGTCACTTACCTGTATCAGGCCAATAACTACAACACAGCCACAAAAGAAGAGAATGCCCAGTATGTTTTCTGGAAAAGCTGCCATCAATGAGAACTAAAAACAGAATAATTGAACAGGTTTTTCAGTACTCTGGATTTAGGATCATAGACAGTACAGTGGCTTTAGCAGATATGCCGAAATGAGGTGAATATACTTTGGCTGTTTTACAATTTACACTGAAGACTCATTCCTTTTTTACACAGTGAGACAGCAAGGCTGTAGTGTCCTGGATACTACTATCTAAGTAATTTGGACCTAAGGATGATTGCTCATCTCAAACCCATTAGACAAAGTTGGTAATACTTACAGTATATGGAAGAAAGGTTATCAGCATCATACAGGCCTGACAGAAAAAGAGCATACAAAGTTTGTGATGCATTTTATTATTACACGAAATATATAAAATTACTCTGGTTATCACTATACCAATATGAAGCTGATTCAACATGAATAATTTTTACTATAAATTATATAGTCAATGCACTGGAAATAAACTTACAAGATTCAGGAGTGCAAGGCAGTCATCTATGCGTTCTATTACCTGGAATAACCTGTTAATAAAAATAATGTTCGCCTGATACTGAATGATTTACAGTACTATATAACTATTCATTCGTTTGTTCCTCTATTTACTTTAATTGAAGTTCATCATATAAACATTTTGGGAAGTAAACTCCACCATGTAAAAGGCACACAACTGGAGGTAAACATTCTGTACCTGATATGAGCAGCCCATGCTACAGTCACTATTAAAAATGTCATCAAGTAAACAGCAATCTTTGTTGTGAGGAGCTGCTGCAAGCTTTCTTTCAATTCCTGTTGAACAAAAAAAAAAGTATTCAGCAACAGAAATAATGTTAGGCGTGACTGAAATGTTTGAACAATGTGCACATCCTTATTTTACTTCCTGCGCTAATATCTTAATATGGCTTTGGAGTAGCTTAAACTGGTGACAGTTTTAGGTCTGTTTGTGTCTGGGGTTGATTTTACCTCATTTTCTTGAATCTTTGTGTGCGCAACAGGCAATATCTGGAAAGATAAATACATTTTTCGCTGAACAAGTTCATATAACAAGGATGACTGACATCTGCACGAGTTCCTTTGCACAACACATACATCATTTCACATCCCATAAAAAGCAATGAGAATGTGACATGACACATTAGTCTTTTTTTAAAAATGGCTGTCCTCGCGAAAGGAAAACTGGTGCACAAAAGGTTAAAATCCCCATGAGATTCAACCCTATAACAAACTGAAAGTGTTGACAATGATTCGCTCTCCAGATCATAGTTGCATGCTTGGACAAACTGAACTGTCGGCTGAATCGTGCATATGAGAAATACTCTGACCATACCATTACGGTAGCGATAATGGAAATAAGCGCATCGCTGTAGGCAAGCAAGCGGTGCGAAGACTGCGTGCTGCTGTGCCGCTTAGCCCCTTCCGAGAAAGACCCCGCACGTCTTGTCAGGTGCCTCTTCTCCATCTCTTCGTTGACGTGATGCTCAATGATTTCTCCATCCTCGTTCTCTCCCATTGCGAAAGCAGACTCCAGGCACAAGTAACATACACAGACGTCTCTTTGTGATTTGGAGCTCAAAGCCGCTTGTGCACAGACAAACAAGGAAGTGCGAATCCTGAAGGAAGTGACATAATTGGACTGGAGGCGCTGGGAATTAAAGAAGCAGCGGTAGCGATGGAGATTAAAACCAGCACAACGACAAACGACACTACAATAATAATAATAATAGTAATAATAATAATTATTATTATTAAATAATAATAACAATAATAAACGGGCCCTATGGCCGTATCGTACTCATGTACGCATGCATGTATTTGCTGGGCACCTGTAAGTTGAGACATTGCTTGAGGCTGCGAAGATCCGGTAACAGGGGACGTTGAAAAGGGTTAACGTGGCTTAATGTCCAAAAGCCACGTGGTGGGGCACAACTTCATTTAAATTGTAAAGTTACTTTTCTCAGGACTGAAGGAAGACAAATGAAATAAGTACACGCCACACGCCCCTGTCAAAAACAACTTGGGAAGATCAAGTTTCTGTCGCACTTTATAGGTCATGAACACTGTGTATTGCCATGGATCTGTAATTAAAAAGTATAAAATTCACCTTAAACCTCCTGCTCATCATGGAGGCCCAGTATAGGAAAGTTACCGTGGTTTAATATTAATGTACCAATACAATGATCTAGGAAGTCAATAGGTATTTTTCATAAATGAATGTATACTGTTATTGCAAAGGAGAATGAAAATTATTTCGAATGTCAGCTCGCGCAGCTCCTATTCGAAATTCAGTTTCCTGGCTGTGATATTTATTTTTTTTAACAAAAGCAAGCCAGGCGATATACTGTAACCGCAGTGGTTTGATGTCCCGTACACAGGCGAGCCTGCACACTGATCATTCTTGCGGTTCGAGCCCTTTCACTATCTATGCTAAATTTTGTTTGCAGCTGCTAAATCGGAGGATTTCGGGGGTGGGCGGGGGATGGTGCAATTTCTGATGCACAGCACAAATGCAATAACTAGTCGTATATCGTGAAGGGATGCGGTGTAAGAAAGGTTTTAAAAATAATTTTGTAATAAAGATTTGAGAATATTAAATCAGTCTGACGTACACTCTTTAGGGTGCCGTTTTAGAACTGAACAGCTAAAAAAATACTGATCCATATGACAAAATTATTTTGTCTGATATTGGAGTATTATGAGTCTTTTTCGTTCCTCACGCTCTGCATGCGCAGCGAACGCGCTGATTCATTATAAAAGATAAAGAACACGGTCTTATTTTTTTTATATTTACTTACTTACTTATACTTACTTAGAACGTGTCTGTCGATATGCGAGTCCCCCGTCCCTCCTATTTCCGACACCCAATGTGCACACCCCTTGGTTTTCCAAATTTCTGTATTATTAAAGAAAATAATAGAAGAAAAGAATATGCATGAAAATACAAAATCTGCTTAAAGCACACTTTATTGGACGTGTCTGTCTCATGTAGTTTTACAGTCATTATGACATTTATATATTGCCCCATTGCACATTGAATAGGCACAGTATAATTATTAATAGCATAAAATATATATAGCATATACATCACTTTTCCGCGTGATGATTTGGTCTGCGCGGACTCTTGCATACATACTACGTATACATTTGTCCATGGACGCAGACGGTCCCCGATGGCGCATTCGTACAGGAAAGATATTCCACCAGACCAGCAGAGGGCAGTTGTAAGCTGTATACCGAATCGGGTGAAGTTATATGAAATTTTAAAATTGTTACCAGGCTTCTATGCCAGTTTAAAAAGACATTCACTAACGTGGGGTCGGGCGGACCGAGGAGAGAGAGAGCGAGAGAGTCGCTCGCCGGGGAGAACACGTACGCTCTTTATTAGCAGTCCTGAAAACAACTACATCAGGGGGATATTCCATGAAAGTATCTAAACTAGAAACCCAGACTTTTCCGAAAAACTCAGACTCAAACTAGCGCCATCTCTAAACTTAGCCTCATGTCATTCCACTAACGCAGTTCAGCTTTAATGGGAATATGTGTGCCATCTATGCAGCCAATCACACCTGGAAATCCTAACAAAGAGGGCATAAGCCTACTTAATTTGAACAGGTACTACAGTCAGTTTCTAGTTTTGTATGGTGTAACAATGCAAAAAGCGTAACTGTATTTAATCTAGTCTTAACCTACAATTGTTTATTGCTAAAATCTTAAAGCATATTACTAAATATATGAGGCTATTACTTAATACCTGCAATTCTGTGGAATTCTTCCTTGATTATTCTACTACATCTGTGACCAGGAAATGCCGCAAACGTGTAGAGAAAACGTTTAAGCGTAAGAGTAATCTGTCTGATACACCGACAGACGGTTGCCTTAGAAACGTGTTGAGCGTCACCAATATTGTACAGAAAGCTGCCATTAGCAAAGATGCGAAGTCATGTACAAAGAATTTGCTCGGAACTGAGAGGATGTCCACGGTGTGTTTGACGAGCAAATTTAATGAGGGCTAAGAATATTGTTGAGATTAATGATTGTCTGTGATGAAATACGGTAACGCTCTAACAGAAAATCATCTGTAAATGATAAAATATCTAAACGGGGTCTGATCACCCTCTCCCGACGGAGATTCCTGCGGATAATTTGTGCTTCGATGTCGACCGGTCTTTCGAGAAAAGGACACGCCATGTCTGATAAAGTACCTGCTTCAATCTGACGGTTCATTTAAAGAGGAGAAACTCAGAGTTACAGGGACTAAACCTGCCAGCGAGCAGGTTAGCTTCACGGGGTATGTTACAACAGTAAATGACTCAGAGTTGGGCTCAACTGGCTTTTTGAAACCGAAAACTCCGAGTTTCCCGTAACTCACACACAACTAACTCCGAGTTTTTACTAAACCCGTGGCCTGTACTACGAAGGGGGTTTAACCAAATCAGACTTAACCTGGAGGTAATTTGCGAACGCGAGGTTGACAAAATCAGGTTGACTCAATCGGGGCTAATCAGTACTACGACGCCAGTTAAGAAGTTGATTTGTTAAATCGGTGTTAACTGCATTGGAGTTTGTGCTAGTTCACATAAATGGAGCACGTTCGGCAGCGCAAGGCACCGTTTGACTCATGGCGCGATCTCCATGTTTCACGGAGGAAGACTGCATGCTAATTATGCAGTGTTATGAGGAGTTTAAATCAACACTGCAAAGAAAGTCCAATACCACTGCAGCCAACAAAAGCAGGCAGGCTTGTTGTCAACGTATTGCCGACGGAGAAAATGCATACGTACATTTTCATGGTAATAAAACGTGGTCTAAATTATCTCACGACCGAGTATTATAGACAATGAAGTGTTTTCTGAAAAGAATTGAAATACTAGCTGTTAATAATTACAGAAGGCTAACAGATGCGACACAATTCAGAAGTCACCTATTATATGCTGCTAAGTAATGTAATGCTCCCTGAACTTCCATTACTGTAATGTTACTCATAATGTAAACCTAATGTTAACAATAACTGATCCGATTTCAAATGCAATAGTAGTGGAAAGCATACGTGGCAGCAAGTCAAGATGAAATATAAAAACATCATGTCAAGTGGTAGGGCTATGTATTTATATTTCTACTCATTATGAAAGATTTGTACCTCCTCTTGGACGGGGGCCAGGGGCACGGGAGCAGGAACCTCCGGGGGCAGAGCAGGAACGGGCAGAGCAGGAACCTCTGGGGTGGA